AGAGAGAGAGAGATAGATAGAGAGAGATAGATAGAGAGAGATAGATAGAGAGAGATAGATAGAGAGAGATAGATAGAGAGAGATAGATAGAGAGAGATAGATAGAGAGAGAGATATAGAGAGAGAGAGAGATAGAGAGAGAGAGAGAGAGATATATATATATATTAGTGAGTGTATCCATATGATGGTCTGTAATCCCAGGAGTTGTTTCCTTTCGGCAGTGAAGATCACATTGCTTCTCACACAGCTCGTCTGGATAATCACCCGTAATGGATCCGCTGGTTTCCTGCATGCAGAGTAACCGGAAATCTCTCCTGCGAGTGCGGCCGCACAGTAGGGCAGAGGGGGGAACGGATTTCCAAAATCGGTGTGTCCAAGGAGCACGGGATCAAGGGTCTAACTGCTGCTGAGGTGTGCAAGCATGCCCAGCTCGATCCGCTCCGTGCTGTAATGTCCCGGCCAACTAGACGTATGAAAAATATTCAAGCAGCGAGTCCACAGTGAGTTCTGAAGAAGCCCCACATGCTGGGGGGAAACGCGTTAGGGACAACGTGTTACCGGCTTCCCTCAAAGCCCTGGACTCGCTGCTTGAATATTTTTCATACGACTAGTTGGCGGGACATTACAGCACGGAGCGGATCCAGCTGGGCATGCTTGCACACCTCATATAACCAGCACCACTGACACCCATTTACTTGGGCTGTTGAAGGGAAGCCTCTGTCGTGTTTAAGGTTTTAAATGCGCTGCTATGGCCAGGCCTCCGCCGCGGGGGGACCCGGCCGCCTCCTCGCCCTTCACCGTCAGCCGATACTCATGTAAAAGGTCCCAGACGGGCCCCTTACACGAATATCGGGCGTGCCCTGGTCATAGTATATATATTCCTAAACGGTGAGATCCTCTGGAGAAAAAAAAAAAACACAACACAGATCTATGTGAAAATATTCAGAACAATCAAATCTTAAATAATCACTACCGGTAGTCCAAAAATCCCCTCCTACAAATTCCAGAGCGATAAGGCGGCACACATATGATGTCACAGGCGTGGTGAGAGAGAAGAATGCATTACAACCCTACGGGAACACGGTACCTTGGTCCGGCTCCACCCCAACCTCCTGTCTGTAATACTCGGCGTCGTCATCTTCCGACAGCTCAGCGGGATTTTGTTCACCCGAAATCCCGGGGTCCTCCACCTCACTGTCCCCTTCATCGCCTTCACCTCTCTTCCGCTTCATGCCGGCCAAACTGCGGCTTCTGTGTGTACGGAGAGAACGCGTCAGTCAGTGCACGGGCCGCAAGAAGCCAGATCTGTAGAGTCACCACCTCCGTGTATATACATTACTGGCCTCATTCACCCCCAAGACACTAACCAGACCCTGGATTACTGCAGGCAGGTCCGTTCAGGGCCCGGAGTCATTCACATTCAGCTGGACTTGTTCTGTAACGCTGAAGATGTTTTGTAGGATCTCCAAGCCACTAGTTGGGCTCCAATGTCCAAGGGGCCCTTCCCCTGTTCTGGATGTTCCAGTTTGATGTATTTGGCCTCTTATGAGCCAGTTGTCCTCTAGCACCGGAGGCCATCTACATCAGACTGGAGCAATCATCCCTGGACAGTGGTGGGGGCTTCCCACACCATCCGCCTCCCACATAGAATGCCATTTCACCATCTCTACCCCGATGATGTGACAACAATCCACACCGTCAGCCATGTGAATCGAATAAGGACTAACATCTGTGCAGACTTCCTGACACCAT